TTGCATTCATGAATCATATTTGAATTTCAGGTTACATTAGAAGATCATTTCTGAAGCACAGAATGGTGAGCTGTGTTTCTTTGTCATAATAACTCTTAGTCTCTGTTTTCTTATTACATTTAAATTTTGCATTTCCTGATACGTTTTTTCATGCATTGATCATTCTGTACATTTTAATATTTTGTAGGTTTATTGCCTGATATTCTGTCACTTCTCTCATTCACACAGACCACATTGGATATGATATAAATGCATAGTCTGTGTTTCATTTTGATTAGCTGTGGTCTAATTCCAGGTGCTAGTAAATCAGACCCTATAATTACTGAAGCGTTCGCTAATAATCACTGCTGTCAGTCACAGCCACTCCTTACAGATCCATTCATTCCAAATGTACAGACCAGAGAAAGAACAGCCCCCAAATGCCCCCCCTCGGTGGCACCAGATTTAAACCCCCCCCCCAAAAAAAAAAACAAAAAAAAAAACACATTTACAATAACAGTGCACCCCCTTCCTGTGACAGCGATGTGCGGGTAGGACTGTCCAGCACTGCATATCTGCAGTGTGCATGTTCATCTGTTAAAAACATTACTTTATGGTATATTTTATTAGTTGCACATTAGATATTGTCATGTGTTTTCATATAGTGTATGATGCAAGCTGTTTTCAGTTAATAACCTTCTCTTTCTCTTACAAGTTATTTTACAGAACATTGAATACACACATTTTGCAAAATTGTTATCTCCCAATCACCAACTGTCACAGCTCTATTATTTGAAGTACTTATTTACTAGGTCCTTTGTAGATATGTGCATTTTTCTGCTTGTGTTTCAGGCAATTGTCGCTGGTTTCGGTCCACTTGAAGTCTTCATTGGGGCAGAAGAGGGAGTGGCTCTGACGGATCTCAATGGCAAATACTGGAGCCCGTTCCACCGGAATGGAATATATCCTATTGAGTGCAAGGACACAAAAGACAATTGGTGCAAGTTCCTCTTAGAAAAGGTTGGAGACCATAAAGTTCGTATGAGAGATGTGAGAGGGGTATACCTCAGTCGATTTCACAGAGATGGAATTGACTTTATTGAGGCAGCTAAGAATCCCTCTGATGTATTTTGTGAATTTGAAGTTTTCACAAAAAGTGAGAAGGTTTTGTTCAAAGCTGACAATGGTAGATTCCTGAGTCTCATTGCCCGTGGACACCTCAACATCGAAGCTGCCAAGGACGGGCCAGACCAGTTTTGTGAATTTACCCCAAGTATCGGAGACATCGTCAGTCCTAAGTTTGAGATCATCTCTGTGGACTTCAAGAATGTCTCTGCATTGCCTGAAAAACCAATCGTGGTGAAGAAAGAAACCTACAGAAACAGTAGTAGCGTGGAACAGAAGCACAAGTTTAATATGTCGTGGACGAAAACTGAGTCTGAAACAACCACTTGGAATCATGCTTGGGGTTTGACCTGCACTGTGTCTTTTGAATGTGAATTTATAGTAAAATTTAAATCAGAGATCTCAGTCTCATACTCAGGATCGTACGGCACCAGCTCCACAAAAGAGAAATCCATCACTATGGGGGAAGAGACGGAGGTCACCATTCCACCTCATAAGAAAGTAACAGCTAATTTAATAGTGAGCAAACAGGAAGATTGTGACATCCCATTTACTGCTAAAATCAAGAAGATCAAGAGCAATGGAGAGGTGCAGGAGTTCATGGAAGAGGGCACATGGAAGGGGGTGATTTATGAAAATGTGCATGTTGACATCAAGGAGGAGGATCTGTGAGTGAAGTGGAGCAGTGATACTTAATAAGCAACAGACTTTCTTCTAATTATCCACAAATAACACAATGGCAGAAAGAGAATCTTATCTCATAGTCTCCTCCATAGCTTTCTCTTATGTCGACTGATTTTATTACTTTAACTTTGTAAAACTTGCCTTTGTGATCAGACTCATGTTTTGTTATTTTTTCCTGCTTAATTCACTTGACAAAAAAAACATTATTAATTTCCAAATGGCGTACGGAAGGGGACTTCCGGTCGGTGCCTAAATGGAGTAGACGCAGTAAACAAGTGCTCCAGTAAACTTTCTGTCTTTTCAACCATTTAACCCTCTATCTTTTCTTTTATGTTAATTACAGTTTACAGTTTGTGCCCCTCTATCTCAGCCTTGATTAAACTTTATTAAAATGGCAATCGAGAGAACTAAATCGAGCAAAAAAGATGGTTCAGGCCTAATACTTGAGGCTATCACCGCATTGCTTGAACAGCATCGGGACGCGCTTCAAGAAGTGTCTTTTAACGCACTCGGCACAAAACTAGAGCAAACAGACCTTATGATGGAAGACCAGGGCCAGCGATTGTCCTCTCTATAACTCGCTGCAGAAGATTACAGCCAGCGAATCCTGGACCTAGAAAGCATTTGCAACAACCTGCGTGACGACAACAACAGGCTGAAGGCTAAAGTTGCAGAGATCTCAATCAGAGCGACGACCAACAAAAGGACTGGTTTCAGCCCATTTGAGATCATCACAGGGCGTCTGATGTATCTTTCCGACAGCATAGATCTGAAAAAAGCAGACGTTCACCTTGCTAGTGATAGCCTGGTTGATTATTGCATTAAGCTCACCAATGCTGTTCAGTCTGCCTTTCAACAGGTTTCCGTCACGTGGGAAGGTCCTTCGATGGAGGTCACACTCTGGTACCTGCTGAGTGGGTACTGATCAAGAAACCCCAGATAGAACCGCTTGGGGCTAAGTGGGAGGGCCCGTATCAGGTTCTGTTAACAACAAACGCAACAGTTCAAGTGTGTGGGAAAAGCAGATGGATTCATGCTAACCACTGCAGAAGAGTAGACTATGTTCCTGAGATCTAACGCGCTAAGGTGATGTGCTAGTAACCTCTCCCTTAGTGGCCTACGCTGCTGGGCGACAAAGTCACAGACTGTAACCAGCCAGAAGATCAACAACAACACTACTGATTGTCAACAGACAAGCACACACACATATTGTGGATTGCCAAGCTTTTCATTTGATCTTCTGGTGGCCTGTGCAAATCTGTTTATGGAAACACAATTGCCAAAACTGATGATGATGATTGTGATTGATTAATTGTGATTGATTAATGGATATGGGTTTGTTTTTTTATTTTATTTTGCTACGTTTATGCAAGGTGCCTCACTTGGTTTTTAAAACCTAGTGTAGATCCAAGGCTTTATGCTGAATCATTTACTTGTTGTACTTAATTACTCGTGATGATTCAAAGTGTTTTGTTTTCCATAGAATCATAGGGGGGACTGAGGGATTTCCCTAGTTAATTTGTAGTTATTCAATTATGTTCATTTAATTCACTCATCTATAGCTTTCATATTTCTTATTTTTATATTTCTTTCTGTCCTTGAGACTCGCTCATCATGTTCTTTCTCATACAACTTACTCTCACCAAGGCCGTCTGACCCCCCAGCTCTGGGAGTCTGTACGAAGACCAGAGATAAAGGGCCCGAGTCCCTCAGGGGGGGCAGAGACAGACACAGACAGACACTGAACCAGCCATGTGAAACATCTTTCTGTAACATCTTCATTCTGTTTTAATAAACTGCTTAAGCTTAAGGAACCTGCCTCATCATTCAAATAAAAGAACCTGAGGATTCACTGAAGAAATCTATCAAGAGACTTTGACTCCCAGCTTCATACGTCAGAGTCCCGACCCGAGCTGACCATGACCTCTGACCATGACCTCTGACTTTTGACAACCTCAATATACCTAAAATCTCCACAGAGCATATGAGAGACTTGGAGGAGCCAATATCCCAGGAGGAAGTTGCTTCTGCCATTTCATCACTGCAGTCTGGAAAATGTTCTGGCCCTGATGGTTATCCAGCTGAATTTTTCAAAAAGTTCTCCTCTTCGCGTTCCCCACTGCTCCATATGGTTTTATCTGAATCCTGTAGTCGCGGTTCCCTTCCCCAATCATTCACTGAGGCCTGTATTACTTTAACTGCTAAAAAAGGGAAGGACCCTACAGATTGTGCTTCCTATTGCCTTATTTCTCTGTTAAACACGGACGCTTAGATATTAGCAAAGCATCATATTCAGATAAAGCATCATATTCTTTCTGTATTACCCACCATGTCCGTACCAACGGACACAATTGTTGACATTTCTTTCCTTAGACCCATCTCCAAAGGACTTATCTCACTCCTATATGGGGTGGTCATGGGATTAAGACACATACCTGTGGACAGGCTTAGGCAATCGTGGGTCAGAACTGTAGACGGAAAGTCAGGCAGCGCAAGCGAGGAAGCTGGCAGTGTAAACAAAGGTGCACATTGTCAAAAGACATATAATTTGTTTGCAAGTAATAAATTTGTTTGCAAGTTATAAATTTTACATTTGAGATGATATTTCATTTGCTTCAGTGAGAAGTTTTGCTTAATAATATTGGCACAAATCTGATTCCATATTATTATTCATGCTAGACAAGTAGTCATGACAGACCATAATTATACCCCAACCACTCAGTCCTGCAGGTGGATTGCTCTGATTGGTCCGCTGGCTCAATCGAAAGATCATGTGGCACATATGACCAATGACCGGATTCGGGAGGCGCGGCAGAGACAGAAAGCCAGGCGATTCGTGGAGTTTGCGTTCACATCGTGTGTTTAATGGTCATACGGTTTTGCACCCGATGCACCATGTTGATACATTACACAGCGACTTGTGGTGGATTGCAGATGTTATAGCAGGCAGCCTCATTAAATTACAATAAAATTTCGTGAAAACTGTTACAGATGTACTTTAGTATAAATTTCAACATTAACCAAAAGTAAGCTAAGCAATGTCTAAACACTATGTGTATGTTAACCCTATACTTTACAAATATATTTTCATTTATGTGGGACTATATGTGGGACATAAGTTTTTCTTATTTCTTCTACATTTTAGCTCATATACCTAAAAGCAATTTATATTAGAAGGACAAGTTACAATTTGGGTGTGTTCCCTGAGAGCTGAACCAACGACCTTTGAGTTGCTAGTTGAATTACTAGAATGCGGGGATATTTGGAGAAGTAAATACAGTTGCTTCTGCAAAAGGGAAACCGGAGTGCTTCCTAGTGAACTCAGCAGGGGTTACTTTCACGCAAATGCAACGTGTTTCTCAATATAAAAGATCAGGTTCTCATTGAAAAAGTTCAAAAATAGCCACTTTCTATCTGTGGCTCATGTGACTATTGGCACGACTATTGCCCAAGCATTTCACAAACGGGCTGGGTGACATCAACTTCCCAAACAGCAGATGGCGCTGTAGGTACATTTATCGCATCCCACTTGAGAATTCTTGTCTTTGACTAGCCTGCCACAGCATTAGCATTGTAGAGAGTTTTAAACTATTTATGCAGTTAAAAACAAACCTGCTATTGACCACTTATTTTAAGCACATTTCCACATTCCACACCATGACCTTGAAGCTAGCGTGACATTCTTCATGTGCAGTAAAGCCAAAGTTGATTTGCATTTCCATTCTGCTGACACTGGCATTGGGGAGGGGAGGGCCCCTCTCCGCTTGCGTCTTGACTTCTTTAGCAGTCCATTCTACCATTCTGCAGTGACAGTTTTGGATGTGTTCATGAGTGGATAAGGAGCACACTTCTATACTTGTATTTTTAATTGTTTTTTTTATAATATGGATTTTTGTTTATGTTGATACAGCCATCCCTGACGCTCTGCTTCCATTTAGTAAAAATCCTCAAATGGTACTTGTGGATAAGAGTTGGAGTGGCAGTGTTCAGTCAACTTGGAGGCCTTGGGGATAATGGTGTGACGTTTGCCAACGATTTTTGCAGAGAATGAGTCCTTTACAGGAATTATTCACCCCCATTCGCTTCCCTGCAAAGACTCGTCCTTTTCAATCTTCCGCTGGTCCTCAGAAATATGACGTCAGTGCTGCTTCCCTCCTGGACTATGGCCAGTGAGAGCCAGTGAGGCATGTAAGGGCGTGCTGTAAGCCAGCATATGATTGGCTGGAATCTGAACCTGGGAATGAATGCACGCCTACAGTGAGTGATGGGAATTCAGATAAGAAATAAGAGCTGACCCTTTCAGCTCTCGAACCATTACAGGCGTTTATAATTCAGCCAAATTTAGCAATGTTTTGACCAATGATTAGTATGTATGCATATTTATCATTTAAATTATTCATTGTATTCATACCATGTAACTGAATGGTTCCAACTATGTAAGTTGCTATGGCAGAATGAGACCCGAAGGAGTGAATGAGACCCGGTGCTGTGGCTACTCCTAGGACAGCCATAGCACCTCAAGAAATCTCTGTGTTTTGTTTAATTTTTAAAGTTTTTAATATGTGAATCATGTATTTTATACTTAAAAATAAATATACTAATAAAACGCGTGTGTCGAGGGTGTTGCAGTGGAAATGAAACTAAGGGGAAACTCAATTTCAGAGCTGAAAAGACAAGCAACCCTACAGGACCAGCAGAAGAAAATCTCCAGCACCATCTCTGGAGAGAATGAGTCTGAGCGAGTCGGTGACTCAGGTACGCTGCTGAAGGATAGAGCCGTGCCTCGGTCCTGACTCAAACGCTCCCTCTACTGGTGTAGCATATAGCCTACACGTGCAGTGATTTCCCGTAGGCTGCAAATGGATTTTAGAGATGCAACACGCATGATTAAAATGATTTTAACCAAGGTTTGTTAGCACTAGTTAGCTGACTATGTGACAAACATTGAATAGCTAAGGTACAGTGTTGAGAGACTTAGACTATAATTCAATAACAAATATTATTTTTCTCGCATGACTTAATGGTGGTATTTGGCTTACTCCTTAGTACTATTTAGCCTAAATAATAGGCTATTTTCTGACATATCGGAGCAGAAGTGTTTCTGATCTAATTTATGCAAAACAGGAAGTGCTGCTGAAGGACATGGTGAACGAATCTTTTAGGTGAACTGTATCAAATGATCTGTGTCCTGAAAAAGAAGCATTTCTCCACTCACTACTTAGTTAGTGTATTACACCATGTGCTACTTTGCTCTAAGTCTGTATCACAACAGGGGCTCGTAGATGAGATCCTATCAGGTGTTTATATAGCTGCAGGTGGAAGCTGAGTGTCAAGTGGGAGTGGCAATATCGAGTAGGAGGGGTTTATCACGAGGGGTAGGAGGGGTTTATAATGAGGGTTAAGGTTGGGGTATCAGATGATAAGTTATAAAACCCTCCCACATTGTGACTCCCACTCGACATTGGCCCTCACACTTGACATTACCCCTCTTACTCAACATTACCCCTCCCACTCGACATTTCCTAGCTGCATCAATATGCCTCTCCTTGGTTGTGTAAAATTCCTATTGCAAATTCCTTCTTGCACTTTCCAGTATTTAATCTAAGTCTGTGTTTTAACAGTTTTGTAGCACAGACATACGCAATACATACTAACTACCCAAAAGGCTTTTGTGTTATTATGACTGAATGTTTATCGGTACAGAAACTTTTAGGTGGAAGACCTAAGCCAGTTATGCATGAATGCTGAATAAGGAAACTCCCCCCCCCAAAACAAAAAGACAGAGGTTCGGACCTGAAAGACTGGTCTTCATGGCCGCATATTTGTTCCTGATCTTTATTCGTTTTTTCCCATATTTTTCCTTCAATTTTACCATATATTCTAAGTATGTAAGAAGATTTTGGAGAGAATAATTCTAAAAATAAATACATTGTGTCAGGAAGAATTTGACTCAAGAGCAGATGATGTTCATGCTTCTCCTTCAGGGTCTTAGGAGAACCTGGATCATCCTGGGCCCAAGGCTGTAGTATTCCCTCTACGGGATGTCAGCCTGTCGTGCACACACACACACTCACACACACAAACACACCCCACACACACCGACACACACACACACACACACACACACATGTAGGGTAAACATATCCTTATGGGGAAAAATGCTAATGCTAACTATGACAACCTTAACCCCTACCATGCCCTAACCATAACCATAAGTAACCAAACAAAATACAAGAGCTTTTGCATTTTTAGTTTTTTCATAGCAGTCACTGATTTTTATAAAATAGAGTTTATAAAAAAAATGGATATTTATCACGTTATGGGGACATTATGTCCCCATAAGGATAGGTAAACCCACTCACACACACACACACACACATACACACACACCACACACACACACACTATGTGCAGGTTACTGATGGATATTCCTAACTGCATACCTTTGGACTGCAGGAGGAAACCCACCCAACATGGGGAGAACATGCAAACTCCACAGGCACGCAGGAGGAGCAGTGCCTCACAACAAGGCACCAGCCCACACCCTCTCCTTTTGTACTTTACAGTATCTTCATTTACAATTGCCAAGCCTCTCTTGTAGTAGGTATTTACTTTTTAGCAGTGTTTCCCAGTCCGGTCCTCAGGGCCCACAAACCAGGTGAAGAAGATCATCCTGGTAGAACTGACTGTCCCAGGGGAAGAAGGCTGTGATGAGGCCCATGAGGGGAAGTATCTGAAATACCAGGACCTCATCATGGAGTGCAGAGAGGAAGGGTGGCAGACGTGGCTGTTTCCAGTGGAGGTGGGCTGTAGGGGGTTTCCGGCACAGTCTGTATGGTCGGTGCTCACTACACTCAGTGTGTCAGGCAAGGACCACAAGGCAGCTGTGTGCAGGATTGGGGAGGCAGCAGAAAGAGCCTCTTGTTGGTTGTGGTTTAGAAGGGAGGAGGGGGGTTGGAGGCCTGGGGCTGGTGGGCAGTGACCTGGCCACCACTGCCGACCCGCCAACTGGAGGGTGTAGCGGATAAGGGGAGAAGGTTGGGCACCGTCTGACGACATTGGCTCCAGGCCAAGGCCACAGGCGTTCTAACGAGCGACTGCATGTGTGGCATCATCTGATGTATTAAGCAAGCTAATCAGCTGCTGTGTCAGGTACATATTCCATCTTAAGTTGATAAGTAATCCATAAGACCAGGAACCTGCTGATGGACATAAAATAGCTTTTTTTTTTCTTCAAGTGGCAGCGAAAAAGGGGAGAATTTGGTGTTGGTGTTTTATCTTGTTGGGTCATCCTGGCTCAAGTATTTGGTATCGTCGACGCTCGAGCATCTCAGAATTGTAGCTGTAATAGTAAAAACATATTTCACGTCTTACTTATTTAATTTTGATTTAGCATTTTTCTTTATTGCTTCCTTTGTTGCTTCTTTGTTTGGCTTATTTTGTTTCTATTTCCCGTTACTTTGTGCTCTGATTGTAACTTTTATAAACTGAATAATAATAATTGTTCAATTGAATAATTCCACCTCCAG